AGGAGGAGGAGCAGGAGGAGGAGGAGGAGGAGGAGGAGGAGGACCCGACTGTGGCGACGAGGAGCCCTCAGGAGGCCCAGAGAGAGAGCGGATAAAGGCCAGGGAGGGCCCTTCGTGGCCTCGACGGGTTCTCCGATCCACGTGCTCCGATTGGCACGCCTGTGATCAAGGGAGGAGAAACCACGGACCGACGTCGTCGTCGTCGTCGCCGGCGTCGTCGTCGTCGTCGTCGTCGTCGTCGCCGCCGCCACCTCCGCCGCCATGTCCCGCAAAAATGGGACCGCCGCCGCCGCCATGTCCCGCCGCCGCCGCCATGTCCCGCGGGTCCAGGTCCGTCGGTTCCGTGGGAACGACCGGACAGATGGCGTGTACTAAACGGCCCTGGGTGTTTACTAAGAGCCCTGCCCGGTTCGGTTCCTGCTTTGGGCGCGTTTGCTAAAGGCCTCGCGTGTCGGGGTGGTTCTTCTCAGGGTGGATGTTCTGCCCTCTGTGTGATGGGTACGGAGAAAACGGGCTCGATGTCCAACAGCTGATCTTGCCCAAAATCTACAGCGGCCGTTGTTGGGCAGGCGACTTTGTGTTCTCGGTGAACGACGCCCACGACGACACCGACAGCAGACAGCGTTCAGAAAGCACAGGAACTGCTGCAGGTCTTGTTACCCGTTCTTTCCGTGCCCAGCTCGATCGCACCGAAGAGCAGAGGAGAGAGAGAGAGAGAGAGAGACGGGAGCCCGAGATTGGGAGAGCGATGGGGCGGGGGGAGACCCGACTGAGCAGGAGCCTGATCCTGGGGAAGCCCCTGAGTGGACATACACGTTCGGGCACTTGAACGAGAAGAGGCTCTGAGTAAAGCTCGCGCCAAACGTTCGTTGCTTGCATGAGAGCACGGGGAAGGAACCATGCGCGGGCTGTTCTGAGAGCGAATGGCCCAGCACGGGAGAGGGAAAGGGGAGCAGCGGGGGAGACCCGCGATGCAGGGAGCACGACACGACGGAGTCAGGGCTCGTCGACGCGTGTGGACGGCGTCAAGATGTCGCCTGCCCAGAACGGTAGTACACGTGGGCACGAGGCAGTCCTCTCCCACCATGCGGCGCAGGAGCGTGCGAAGGAAACGCCAGCACAAGAAGGGAGCGAAGCGCACCGGGGCGTGCGCCCCTCGTCGCCAGCGGCGTGACAGCCCCGACGCCCGGCCAACTGCCAAAGCCCTGGCGGGCGGAGCGTGCTGCAGCTCACGCGCTGGGTGAGGATTGCAACAGGAGCCCCACGCGAGCGATAAGTCTTTCCGAGAGTCGACGCGGGCGCAGCGAGACCCGATCAGACCCACTGGCAGCAAGGAGGTGGGAGCGGGGGAGCGGGTTGGGGTCCCCGCTGGGTAGAGGCGGAGGCCAACCACGGGTAAACAAGTTGCACGGCGACAGCGCCTGGGACTTACAGTCGGGGCGCTGGAGAAGGAACCCTTTTCGTTGGGGAGGGGCTCTGCGCTCCGTAAGTGTTTCGCAGCTTGCCTCAGGTTTTCCTTATGTTTTCGATCGGAAATGGAAGTTTGACTCATGGGAAAAAGGGGCCTCGTTCCTTATCTTGGGTTCCTTAGGTCAAGGCCCCGACTGTATTGATGCCCGAGCCCTGGGCAGCCATCGCAAAGACGGCAGTCCTGCGTCAGCTCTGCCTGCTCTGCGGGAGGGCGCGTCATGCTGCCGCACTCCGCAAGTGGGCACACTGGCCGTCACCCAAGTGAGGCCCACTGCCGCACTGTGCACATCAAAACCATCACCGACACCCGACCCCGGGGGGGGACCAGGCAGAGGGCACAAGGGAGCAGGCATGGCGGGGGCGACCCACGAAAAGACACTGCACGTCGATGCCACCGTAGGTCAAAAGCACGAAGGGGGAGGAGCGAAGTGGGAGAGGGGAGGGAGGAGGAAGGGGGGAGAAAGAAGGAGGGAGGAGGGAGGAGGCAGGAGGGAGGAGGGAGGAAGGAGGAGGGAGGAGTGAGGAGAAGAAGGAGGAGGAGGAGGAGGAGCGAGGAGCGAGGAGCGAGGAGGGAGGGGGCGGGGGGAGGAGGCAGGAGGGAGGAGCGAGGAGGATGGGGAGGGGGAGGAGGGAGGAGGGGGGAGGAGAGACGTGAAGGAGGGCGAGGAGGCGCACGGCGCCTCGGGCTGCCCCCGCCCCTCCCCGGCTGCGCCGCGCGCGCGCCGAGCTACGCCGACGCGCCCCTGGCGAGCGTCGGCGGGGTCGCGAGGGAGCACGGCGCCGTCGTCCTGGAGGCCCGTGGCCCCGCCGGCGAGGAAAGAGGGATCACACGGGGGGCGGGCGATGGTTCAAGGATGGGGTCCTGAGGTACGGGGCCCTGGGGGTAGGAAGGGACCCAGGGTCGGGTTGCATGGTGTGAGGCACCCCGTCCTCAGGGCCCCATCCCTCAGGACCCCATCTCTGAACCACCGAACGAGAAGGAGGACCCTCTGATCGACATGGGAACGGGCCCCTTTGGGGTCAATGCTCGGACGCAGCCCCAGCTTGGGGCCCAGCGGGGGTCAGAGGAGGGCCAGGACGAGGAGGACGAGGTTTTTGCACGGTTTCGTCGGTTCCCGGCGGGTTTCCAGCCTCGGAATGCCTTCTATCAGCTGCGCCTGGTCGAGGGCGCCCCAGGGGTGCCAGAATCGTCCCGAGGGGCCTCCTGAGAGCCGAGTTATGACACGGACACCCTGGGAAAAGCGGAGACCAGGGGCAGCGTCGAGGGGGGATAGTCACAGGAGGGCAAATTGAGACAGCGGCAGTTGACCTTCGGGGGGGGGGGGGCCCTCGTCGCCACGGCTAGACACGGCTCGGAAAATTGGTGCGCTTGGACCCCAAGAAGGGACCGTTGTTGTCTCAACACGCCTTGGTCCGAAACTCCAGGCCGCCCAGATGGGGCCCGAGCAGACCAGGTCGGAGGAGCGCGCTGCATCGCCGATGCATCGGCGATGCGGCGCGATCCAGAATCCTGCTTTCTTCCATCACGGCGTCGCGGATACATCGCCGATGAATTGACGGCGCGGTGCGATCTTCCGGCACCAGCCGCTCCTGCCCCATTCGGGCGGCCTTCAAGAATGGGGGCTGGGACCAGCAGTAGTTCCCGCTCATTTTGAGCAGGGCACGTTGCTGCTGTCGCCGCGGGCGCTGCCCATTTGAGGCAACCGTCGCCTGCCCGACAGCGGCCGCTGACAGTTTGGAAAAGCAGTCGCTGTTGGGCATCGTGCCCGTTGTTCTGTGCCCCTTTCTGGCGTGCCAAGAGGAAGAAGGAAGAGAGAGAGAGAGAGAGAGGCGTGCCAGGAGGAGGGAGGAGGGCCGCGACGACGAAGAGGATCAGAGGGAGCACTGCGCCGCCGTCCTGGAGGCCAGTCCTCCGCCAGCGAGCGGGCGTGGACGACGCCAACATGCCCAGACTTTGGGCGGATCAGTTTGTCCGAAAGAGCGTCTTCTGAGCAGGCTGGGAGGAAGTCAGGGGGGGGGGGGGTTCAACCCCTCCCCCCCCCCCGGGGGAGGAGTTTTGGAGAGGAGGGGTGGGGATTGACGGGGTGGGCCCGTCCCAGAGCGGGGGAGGCTGGGATTCTGCACCAGAAACGCATACACTGAAGGCGTTTCCGCATGTGTCCAGAGAGTGCCCGGCTTCCTTCGTCGGAACGGAAGACATTGGATCAAAGATCCTGTTGTGGTCCGACATGCCAGGATCAGCCTGTTATTGGGCCTAGGCCACGCGTGCACCGATGCCATGTTGGTGCGCAAGCTCGTTCGGTTGGGGCTCGATCGCGCCTGCGGACGGTCGTACTATGCCAGCTGAGCTGGCGTGAAAGGGTTCTTCAAGGTCAACAGCGTCATCCAAGGCATATGGTCATGTTGGCACAAACGTGCAGCATCTCGTGCCCGGGCGGGGGCAGCGACAAGTCATACGAAATTGCGGCAGCATCCAGAAGCCCAAATGGTGCGTTCAGTATGCCTCGTGAGTCTGACCCTGACTCACTGTCCAGGGCGGCGCAAGCATGAGCCAAGACAATCATGATACGGAAGTCTGCGGACCGACCCAGCTGTGGAATGTGTCAATGGTCTGTGGGCATGGTCTGGGATCCAATGTCGATGCAAGACCTATACTACCAGATCTGCGACCTGGAGACGGCTGTCATGAAAGAGCACGGCTATCCAGTTGCCTGCGGCAAGTCCCGCCACCATGCGGGATGCATCTTGGGCCATCTTGAGGACATGTTCGGCCGCCTTGAGGCCATCTTGGCCCTTCTTGGACGCGTCTTGGGCCGTCTTGGTTGCCTTGGTTGCTTGCCTGGGTCGTCCTGGAAGCTCGGGACGCGAACACCTCATTCGTTTACGGGGGGATTGTGGCCTCGGGTGTGCGGATCCACTGTTTTCTCATCTGTTTTGCCGCGAGGACCAGGGATCCGCGTGCCGCATGCCCGCCGAGGGGAGGAGGACACCGGGCGGGTGGAGGGAGGGCGCTCTTCCTCCTGCCGCTCCTGCTGCCGCTGCGCGAGGGACCTCTGGTCGTCACCAGCACTCGGCCCTGGGCTCTGTTTGGTCTGTGGGGAAAAACACACACACACACACACACACACACACACACACACACACACAAACAAACAAACAAACAAACAAACAAACAAACAAACAAAAAAAAAAAAACACAGTGTGTGTTGTTTGTGTGTGTGTGTGTTTGTGTTCCCCACCGTGTGTTTCTTGTCCCCACATGTGTTTTTTTTTCCCGCTCGGGGGCGGAGGGGGGGCCCCGGCTCCGCGGTGCAGGCGGCCCTGCCCTGCCCCGGTCCCCCAGCGGCCAGTCGCGTCGCTGCTGCTGCTGCTGCTGCTGCTGCTGCTGCTGCTGCTGCTGCTGCTGCTGCTGCTGCTGCTGCTGCTGCTGCTGCTGCTGCTCCTCGTCCGCAGCCCCGGCACCCACTGACCTTTGCAGCGGGTGTCCGCCGGGACAGGCGTGTGAGAGGGGTCCCCCACGCGACCTGCGAGCCGGGCCCCTGCTGCTGCAGCTGCTGCTGCTGCTGCTGCTGCAGCTGCTGCTGCTGCTGCTGCTGCCCCCCACACCCCCCCCCAGTGTCTCTGCCCCGGCCCACTTTCCCTCCTGCCTCCCTCCCTCTCGCGCTCGCCCCTCCTCCTCGGAGGTCCCTGGGCCGCGTGTGCCTCGTTCCCGTCCTCGCCGCTGCAGAAAAAAACAGGCGGAGCCCCAGACCCCATCTTCCTGCTGCATTCTGCAGGCCAGATCGGCCTGCGAGGGCCCTGGGACCCGAAATAAAGCGACACCGCTCGACGTGCGAGGGCCCTGGGACCCGAAATGAAGCGACACCGCTCGACGTGAAACAACTGCGACGCCACGATCTCGAGGGCTGCCCTCGCCCTCTCCTGCCTCCCTCGGCTTCCGCCGCCGCGTTGCCTCAGCTCGCGGCCCAGAGGTCTCGACCGCCTCCCCCAAGGGGGAGTGTTACGCCCCAGATCCTGGACAGCCCCCCGAGGGCCGAGATCTACGAAAGAGCACCCTCCCTCGACTTCCGCCGATGTGTTGCTTCCACTCGCGGCCCAGAGGTCTCGACCGCCTCCCCCAGGGGGAGTGTTACGCCCCAGATCCTGGACAGCCCCCCGAGGGCCGAGATCTACGGAAGAGAACCCGCTGCAAAGATCAGATCGTCGGAAAGAGCACCAGCTGGGACGATGGCAGTTTCTCATCGTCGTATGCTCTGTCGTGGAGGCCCCCTCCTGGCCTTGATGTGAGGCCCTTCCTCCTGCCCCCCTCTCGTCAATTCAAGCTGTGCGCGGCCCGCTCAGCTTCGACCGGAAGAGGTGCGCTCTCGAGCCCAGGAAACATAGGGGAGCATATGGGAAGTGGGGGGGAAGACGAAAGCCCTGAAAAATATATGAAGACATGGGGAATCTTGGGCTTGGCGTGTAGCTATTTGTGTGTCCCTGGGCCCCCATAGTAAGACCCGTTCTTGATCGTCGCCCTTCCTGGCTCGAGCTGCCCCGGCCCGGCTGGGGTCACCGCCTGGTGGCCGGCTGCTGAAGCTTCAGCGGCGCGCCAGCGCGAATGGCCACGCCGGCCGTGCGCCCCGAGCTGCTGGCGCGCGCCGCGGCCAGGGTGGCCCGAGAGCACCAGAGGCGACGATAGGGGCGAAGAGCCCAGGGGAGCGCCATGCATGTATCCGGGGGCGCCGAGGATCTATGTTTTCGACAAGGCTCCCGGGCGAGTACGCGTAGTGCCCGCCCCTGGGCTATTCGGCCCCATCGTCGCCGCCGATTGCACACCAACGTTCGGGTCTCAAGGGTCAGGAGGGGAAAAAACTCACAGACACAAAATCATCGTCGATGCCCAGGAAAAGTGGGGGGGGAAGACGAAAACCCGGAAAATATACGGAAATGTTGGGAATCCTGGGATTTGTGTGTGTATGTATTTGTTTGTCCCCGGGCCCCTTTTAAAGGGACGGGGGTCAATGCACATGGGGGTCAGCCAGAGCGCGGGATATTGCAGGATCCTGCGGAGCCAGGGGCGAACTGAACCGGGCTAGGGCGCAGGATCCCGTAGGATTCTGCAGGATCTTGCAGCGCCTTGCAAGGCCTGATTGACCTGGATTTGCTTTGACCTGGGCCAGTGGATCCCCGAAATGTCACGCACTGGCGAGGCGTCCTTACCTGCCAACGCAGACCCCCTCGGGTCATGAAAGAATCACGGTGGGAGGCGTTTCATTATATTTGGCCTTTAGGATTCTTTGCCGGGCTTCGGAACCATCAGAAAACTACTCGGGATGAAAAGTTGGTCCCAGGGAATGAGTCGAGACTTCCTGGGACCTTGTATGGAAAAAACACGACATCGGATTTCTGGGATATCTAGGCCTCCAAGGTGAGGTCCGAGTGGATGGTGTTGGAGGATCGCGCCGCATCGCCAGAACATAGGCGATGCGGTTCGATGCGGAGCCCGATTTTCGCCTCGCCAACGGCGGCGATGCATCGCCGACGCATCGCCGATGCATCGCCAATGCATCTCCGATACATCGCCGATACGTCGCGCCCCTCCGACACCATGTACTAATTATCTACTCCGACCCCACCTGGCCGTGGTTTGCACGAGCTGTTCTCACAAAGTTTCTGGTTGAGACAGGAGTCTGGTTTTGGTGCATCGTTGTTACGGTCCAGGAACCTTCTTTTTGTTTTTGGGGCATTCGTTGGTTCTAAGAAGACGTCGCGGTTGGCCTGCACGACTGCTGGAGCGGTCCAGCCCTGCTCAAGGGCCAACCGACAGCCACGCCGATCTTGCCGAAGAGCCAGACCCCCGAGACCCCCCCCAAAAAAGAGTACGCAGAAGGTGTTTCGCTACTTTCGGCCTCCTGGAGCCCTCAGTGGGCCTCGGGACCGTCAAGAAATGGTTAGGGACGAAAATCCGGCCCAGGGGAATGGCACGAGACCCCAGGGGGTATCTTGCCCAGACCTCCGACGCAGTGAGAGAATAAAGGCGGAGGTGTCTCGTAGTGTTCGACCTCTGGGGTCCCTTGCTGGGTCCCGGCCGGGACCGTCAAGCGACGATGCGGGACAAACTTCGGGGGCGGCAAAGAGGGGGTGAGGACCAGGGGGGGGGGGAATATCATGGCGGGGGCCATGATATCTCCCCAGATTTCACGGCGCTTCTTCTTATTCCAATACGTCCCAGCCCCCCCCCCCCCTGGGCCGCGCACACGGCGCTGGCCATGGTTTGCGCCCCCCCCCGCTCTTGGACGCCCCCCTCTTGAACGGCCCCGAAGACCGGCCACCCCCGAGCAGTGGCGCTGCGGAGACCCCGCGGCGAAGAGCCAGCACATCGGAGGCCGGGGCGGGCCCGGGCTCGGCCCGGCCAGGATCCGGCGAGGTGGTCAGCTGACCGACATCTTCGCGCCATGGGAGCACCACGGCGGAAGGTTCGAGGCCGGCTTCGGCCTTCCCAGGGTCCCTGCCGGGCCCGAGGACCGACAGGGAACGGCTCGGGACGACAAGGCGCTCCCCGCGGAGGGGTCCAGACCTCTGGGAAGCCACGCTGTTAAAAAGCACGACGTCGGGGGTCTGGGATCGACAAGGTGGCCAGCTGACCCCGACATCTCCGCGTCGTGGAAATATCACGGCGGAAGGCGTTAGGAATGTTTCGGTTTCTGAATGGTTTTGTCGGGTCACAGGACCGTCAGAAACGACTTGGGATGAAAAGCTGGTCCCCGCGGAGGGGTCTAGACCTCTGAGAAGCCACGCTTCGAACAAAAGCACGACGCCGGATGTCTGAAGCCAACCACGATACCCATCCTGGGCGGCCAGTATCGGCTCCGCCGTTGCGAAAAGAATCTGCATCACGAGAAGTTAAACGACTGGAGCCCTTGACCCCATCTTTCTGCAGCATCTGTCTGGCCAGATCGATATGTGGGGCGTTCCAAAAGCGGCCTTGCCTTGGAGGATCGAAGGAGTTGTCATCTCTTCCGCAGCGGAAGGTGGCAGAAGATCGGCGGAAGTAAAGCGAGGCCGCTTCCGCGGGCGGAAGCCAGCGGAAGGTTGGCTGAAGGCGACGGAAGTAATTAGAAGATGTGCCCCCAATTGGCCCAAGAGATGGAAACGTTTTAACGTTTTTGGGTTCAGGGTTTCCGACATCGCCCATATGGTGGCCCCAGGGCCCGACCACTGGCGAAAACGCCCCGCGTGAACAGAGTGCAGCGCCCAGATGTCTCAGGGCGGCCAGTTCACGCCCCCCGAGGTGGCGGAGGACAGGGAGATCTCGCTGCTGCCGCCCCCCGCGCTGCACGGCCCAGAGAGGCTGCACACCTTGCAGCTCGACGGGGACGCCAGCGAGAGCGCACCGCCCGCCTCGCCACGGCAGCCGGCCCCCGCCCCCCCAGCGGGCTCCGCAGAGGACGTGCGGCCCGCCCCGGCGCCGCCAGCCCAACGGCGGGCGGCCGCGGGCTCCGTGGCCGCGGCCGCCGTGGCAGCGACGATGGGCAGCGAGGGCCACGACTGGCTGCAGTCGGGCATGTGCGACCGCGTGCGCCACTGGGCCCACGCCGGCCTCGCGGCCACCGCGGCGGGCTCGCCGCGGCGCGGCGGGCGGCCGCCGCCGGACGGCCTGAGCCGCACGGCGCCGGCGCTCGGCGATGCCGTGCCCGCGCCGCTGCCCCGCGGCCGCCTCTGCCAGACCGCGCGGGCCGCCGCGCCTGGCGCCGCAGAGCTCTCGCCGGCAGCTCGGCGGCCACTGGGCGAGGGCGGGCCGCCGGGAGAGCCTGCAGGCCGCGGGTCGCGTGCGAGCTCGCCGCCGTCCGCCAGCGGCGACGCGGCCGACCGCCGGGCGGCAGGCGCCTTCGGCTCGGCGCGGGGCTCTTGCTCGTCAAACCTCGGGGAGGCCGGGGCGGCGCCGCTCCTCACGCCGCCGTCCCAGCCGATCCCGCTGCTGGCGCCTCCCTCCGGCCGCAGCTCCGCGGAGCGTGGGCCTCTGGCCCGCGCGCTCGTCGGGCGTGGGTGCCCAGAGCCGGGCGGGGAGGACGAGATATCGCCCATCTCGCGCGACGCCGCGGTGTCCTTCCCGACGCTGTTTGGGTGGCCGCAGCAGGCGCCCCCGCGGCGCGTGGACGACGCTGGGGCGCCACCCTGGCCGATGTCCGCGGGCGGTGAGGCCCCGCGAGCAGGCGACAGGGGGCACAGCTACTCGCCGCTGCTCGCCGTGGGGCACGAGCCCTCGTGCTCGAAGGACTCCTTCGCGTCGCCCGGCGAGGTACTGAGGCTGCTGCAGGACGTCCAGCAGGCGTCCCCAGCGAAGGCGCCGGCGGCGCTGAGCGGCGGCGAGGAATCGCGGGGCGATTGCAGTCCCGCCCGCGAGGACCGCTGGGCGGCGGCGCCACAGGACGCGTCGCGGGAGGTGGCCCGGGTGCGCGCGAGGATCACCGCAGAGCTGGACTGCCTCACCGAGGCGCTGGCAGAGAGCTTCGCAAGTGGCCCTGCCGCGGTGAGAAGGGCAGACTGAGCTCGAGGGGAGCAAATCACGAGATGACCATCGATTTTCGGAGGTCCGCGCGGAGTTCTTGGATCGGCGCTGGAGGCGCCGCCAGGGGGCTCCACCACCGATCCGAGAAATCCGCGCGGACTACCGAAAGTCTACATTTACGTCATGTTTCGTTCCCCGATGAGCGGCCCACGCTGCGGGAGGTGGCCGAGGAGATAACACGTGGCACGCTCGCTCATCTTGCTTCTCGCCGTGATCCCCCCCCGCATGCTCCTCCTGCGCCTCCGCGCGCTTCTCCCGCTCCTGCTCATTATCCCCCCCCCCCCCCTCATGCTGCTCCTCTTCCTCCTCCTTCTCCTCCTCCTCCTCCTTCTCCTCCTCCTCCTCCTCTTCTCATCATGCCCATCCCCCTTGTTCCCTGCCTTCTTGCCTACTGTTCATCCTCATGCTTTTCTCCTCCTCCTCCTCCTCCTCCTCCTCAGCAGCAGCATCAGAATCACCATCAGCATCATCATCAGCAGCATCATCATGTTCAGCATCATCATCATGATCATCATCATCATCATCATCAGCAGCAGCAGCAGCATTATCAGCATCATCATCATCATCATCAGCAGCAGCAGCAGCATCATCATCATCATCATCGTCAGCATCATCATCATCATCATCATCATCAGCATCATCATCAGCAGCATCATCATGCTCATCATCATCATCAGCAGCAGCATCATCATCATCGGCATCGTCATCATCATCATCATCAGCAGCATCATCACCATCAGCATCATCATGCTCCCTCTCCTCATATGTTGCCATGTTGGCTCAAGTCTCCCCTCCTGTAATTTGCGCGGCGACGTCGCAAGCGCGGCGCTCGTTTCAGCCATGCATGAGTTAGATTTCTGTATAACCTTCCTTCCCGCCGCGTCTGCGGCGATGGCGCCAGCATAGCAGCCGAACCTCGCTTTCACCGCTTTGTGACGCCCAGTTCATTGGTATACCCAGCCATGATGCGGAGAGGGTGCGACTACCAGGGGATCACGAGGCGTGTGATCCGTTGGCGCCTTCGATGCTCGCCGCGCTCCAAGTTTTACTTTCCTGATTGCGAAGTGGGCCCAGCCATGCCGAGGCTGGCCGACAGGACGAGCCAGCAGATATGTACGGCAGGCCATCCAGAAAAAGTCGTGATACACCCCCCATCAAGGGGCGCCAAGGAGGGGTTCGAGCACTTCTGAACCAGCGCACCGGGCAACCTGCGGCGGAGTGAGCGTGGCGAGGCACGGGCGGCCTTGAACCCCGTGCGATGTTGTTGATCGGGCACTGTCCTGCAGCGCAAACATGAAATAACATATCAAGATCGAATCAAAGGTGTTGATCTGCTGGAGATGTAGAAATTTGAGCCTTAGATATTAGATCTCTTATTGAGTTTCAGCCTTTCCGTTCCATTGCTGTTTGATCTCAGCCTTTCCGTTCCATTGTCCTGCAGCAGAAATATAAAACAACATAGCAAGATCGAATCGAGGGGCTGATCTGCTGGAGACGAAGACGGGCCTCCACAGTCGCGACGGGGCCCAGCTACTGGACGCGGCGCCGGCCACGGACTGCATCAGGAAGTCCAAGGCGCGGCATTTGATGTGCATCTTCGGTGTTGGCATTCGCGTCGGTCAAACCAAATACAGTGAGCGGCTTGAATAAGGAACGCTTGTTTTTCAAAAGGGGCTCGGTCGTTCCTTAGGCTTGCATGCGTTATTTATCGCTCCCTACGCGTTATGTATTATTTGTTCATCGTTCCTTATGTGTTATTCCTTGGGATAAGAAAGGGGCTTCGTTCCTTATTTATCGTTCCTTAGGTCAGGCCGATGACTGTATACCCAGAGCAGCAGTCCATGGGCGATCCGAGACGCCCCCCGATCCCCGAGTTCTTGGGCGGGCCTCACGAGCTTCGACGACACTGATGCGGCGTCTGCTCATGGTGGCCGTCGGAGTGGCCAAGCCTCACAGCCCAAATAGCACAGCCGACAGGTTTCCGACAGCCTTGAAGCAATGACATGGCGCAAGTATTTACGACTCGTTCGTACGCTTTGCGACCAACTGGGCCGCCAAGCGGACGCGAAGTAGACTCGGACAAGCACATGGACCACGAGAGTTGGCACGAGCGGTGCAGCATCACTTCACGGATGCTCTTCGCTGCCGCGATCTCACCACCCTCTTCCGCTCCTGCGAGGGCGCCGCGAGAGGTCAGAGCCCCGAATCATCAGGGGTAACTCGGGTCAGGGCTAACTCGGGTTCGTTTTTCGGGAACCCCAACCCGAGTTACCCCGGACCCGAGTTACCCCGGATAACTCGGGCGTCCAAAGAGGGGGGACGTGCCCATTTGCAACGCGAGCACGTCCGGCGGGGGAGCCGCTGGGGGGGGGCTGCGCGTCCGAGGCAGGCCTCCCAGCACCGCCGCCCGGTGCCCCGATCGAGGGCCGGGGGCGACCGGCCGAGCAGGGGTCCCAGCCGCGGCCGTCGGAGAGCCGGGCGCGAGGAGGAGGGCGGCGTCGTCTGCGGCGTCGCACGTCGGCGTCGCACCCAGATCGGCGGCGCGCCCAGGGGGGAAGTGAGAAGGGGCGGGCCTTCTCAGAAGGCTCGGAAGTCCCCCGGCCTTCTGAGAAGTTTTGTGAGCCTCCCCCGGAGACAGGAAAAACTTCTCAGAAGGCGCGAGGGCTTCTGAGAAGTCCCGCCGCCTTCTGAGAAGGCCTTCTCCTTCTCATTTCCCCCCCTCGCTCGCCGCCAACCAGAGATCCGACGTCGTGATTTTTTCAACACGCGGTGCCCCGAAGTCTCGACGCATTCCCCAGGGCCGGTTTTTCCTACCGAGTCGTTTCTGGGATGGCCCCGGGGGCCCGGCGAGTGCCCCCAGGGGCCGAGAGTTCAGAAAAGCCTCCGCCTTGATTTTTGTCAACGCGTTGGGACCTCTGGGTACGTCACACGTCGGCGTCGCACGTCGCGCGTCGGCGTCGCGCGTCGGCGGCCACCCCGGCCGAGGGCCGTCGTCGTCGAGCGCGCCAGTGCGCCGGCCCAGATGGCACGCGACGTCCGCCCGCCACCGCAAGCCAGGCAGGCCTGGCCGCGGCGCGGCCTTCCTCGGGCAGCCGAGGCGGGCGGCCGCCGGCCAGTGGCAGACCGGGAGCTGCGAGCAGGAGGTCGATCGCAGAAGTGAGTTGCCCCAGATGTGCTTGTCTCGTCGAGTCTTCGAGACATGCGTAAAATTCTATCTGTAGATCTACGGAGCATCCCACACGTGTGTTGTGCAAGTTCTATGGGGGGAAGTGGATCCATTCTGCAGTCGATCTCCTGCTCGAGAGGTGCGGACGGGCGCACCAGCGCCCCAATCCCCTGCGCCGTCGAGCGCGCAATCTCAGCGGGCGCCGCCACGCGTGACGGATTCGCGCAGTCCGACTGCTTGGGCGTCCCCCTTGCCAGCATGCATGACAACGCCTTGAGCTCCATGTTGATTGGGATGGGCGGCCTCGGCCGCGTCGCATCACCCCGAACGGCGTTCATCAATGTTCACGCCAGGCTCTCGAGCGCGGACTCACATCCCACAGAAGCAGAACCAATATGCACACACACACACGTGCACACGTGCACACGTGCACACACGCACATGCACAAATGCACACACCAGACAACAATAAGAACATCATCATCAACAGCAACCACCATTTCAAAGCTGTTCGCTCCTAAACCTTCGGTACCCGCCATCTTCTTGTCGATCGTACACCGTACACCTTTGGGGATATGTCTTCCTTACCTGCCACGTGTATGTAGCGCAGCCCCTAAAACAGGGGAAGCGAGGACGGATGGAGGGGTAACGGAGAAGGATGGAGGACGAGAGAAATTAGCAGGAGGGGGGCTAGGAGCAGAAAACACGTGGCAGAACCAGACGGGCAGATCAGGCGGGCAGACCCTAGCGGGCGTGTCGGGAAAGCGGGCCCAGGCGCCCAGGTCGAACAGGCGAGATGTTGAAGCGTGAGTCCTGCACGAATCGCGAGGAAGTCGCGAGCGATAGCGCGATGCCCGAGTATATCGTGAGAAACGCCAAAGCGAGAGCGTGATTCCTGAGAGTCGAGGGCGCCGCGTCTGAATAAATTACGAGGAGGTCTCACGCGAGAGCGCGGTTCCTGCATACAGTGTGAGGAATCCCGCGCGAGAGCGGGATTTTGGAACAAGTGGCAAGCGTGTTTTGGCTCTTACACCAGGAGCTGCGAGGGACAGGAGGCGTTCGTCTCCTTCCTCCAGGAACGGCGAACGACGAGCGAAGGACGAACGAAAATAAAGAGGCCCGAGCTCTAGAACACAGCTGTTCGAGAGAAAAAACATGTCCGAGTTCTAGAACACAGCGGGCAAGTCCAGGGGGCCTGGGGAGAAAGACTGCCCAAGAGGCCATCAAGATCGCCCCAAGAGTGCCCAAGAAGCCTCCAAGACGGCCCCAGGACGGCCCAAGAGGCCCCCAAGACGGCCCCAAAAAAGGCCCCAAGACGACCCAAGAGGCCCCCAAGAAGCCCCAGATGGCCTCCAAGACTGCCTAGATGGCCTCCAAGATGCCTTCAAGACGGCCAAGATGGCCTCCAAGACGGCCAAGATGGCCCCAAGATGCACCCAAGACGGCCCAAGATGGCTTAAGATTGCCCAAAAGGCCCGCCAGAGGCCTCCAAGACGGCCCAAGAGCCCTCAAAGACGTCCTCCAGGAAGACCCGACAGGGTTAAAACAATTGATTGAAGGATGGTGGCTTTTGCTCCTTTTCAGCTCTCCGACGCCCCAAGATGGCCCAAGCGGCCCCCAACATCGCCCCAAGAGCACCCAAGAGGCCTCCAAGATGGCCCCATGACAGCCCAAGAGGCCCCCAAGAAGGCCCCAAGACGGCCCAGGGGGCCCCCAAGACGCCCAAGATAGCCTCCAAGACGGCCAAGACGGCCTCCAAGAAGCCTCCAAGACGGCCCAAGATGGCCTAAGACTGGCCAAGAGGGGCCCCAAG